GGTACTGGGGAGGGAATCATAGGATGCCAGGTTGGAAAGGAAGCATCGGATGGTGGAAATCCCTGAATGCCAAGTTGTGGGTTTGATTTTATTCTGTTACCAATAAGGAAATACTGGAGGGTTTGTAAACACCAGTAAGAGCTGTTTTGCAGGAAATCTAATCAGGCAGCAATATAATGGGTGAGGTGAGTTGGAGCAGGAAGAAGGAAGGAAGGAGGAAACACCAGTTAGGGGGCTATTTCTGAAGTCCAGGAGAGAAAGGGGGCCGCACTATGGCTGTAACGCGGGGCGGGGGGGCGGTGGAGGAAAAGAGAATTGCAGAGGAATATACTGAACCTGGCAAGTGATTGGCAGTATACTAGAGAGGTAATTCAAAGTTAGCGCTAAAGTTTCGAAACTGGAAAGAAGGTATTGCCAGGTAGCAGAATTGTGGGTAGGGATGGTAGGTTTTGACTGATGTTGAGTTTGAGGTGCTAGTGAGACATCTGAGTGATGCCCGGCCCACAGCAGGACTGAATATTAGGAAGTTCCCTTTGTGGATAGGGTGGTCCTCTTCTAGATCCCCATAGAAATTGCAGTTCATTCAGGGTAGGGACCTTGCAGTTTGAGAGGAAATCTGGCAGAATGATGAGAACCTATAACAGTGCACCTCCTGAGCAACAAATGACTGTTTCCTTATCCAAATCCTAGACAGATTGGGCAAGATGCTTAGTGGAGTGTGAGATGGTGGTTCTGTGTGCCACTCATCACTTTTTAAAAAAATATATTAAAAAATTATTTGAAGTATAGTTGATTTACAATGTTTCAGGTGTACAGCAAAGTGATTCAGTATATACACCTATATATATATATATATATATATATATTCTGTTTCAGATTCTTTTCCATTATAGGTTGTTACAAGATATTGAATATAGTTAGTTCCCTGTGCTATATAGTAGGTTCTAGTTGTTTATCTATTTTATATAGAGTAGTGTGTATCTGTTAATCCCAAACTCCTAATTTATCCCTCCCTCCCCACCACTCATCACTTTTAACTGTCCATCCTTTAAGTGGCTTCACATCTTTGAGCCAGATGGCTTGTGCTTGACATTGTACCTTGATAGCTTCCAAGTGTGCTAGATGAGTTTTGACTGCAAGACACCCTTGGCCATGCCCTGATTGATTCACAGTGCAAAATGTTGCCTAAGCAATTCCGTAGAGACAGAAAGGAGATCAGTGGTTGGCCGGGACTGGAAGAAGGGAAAGTAGGGTGTGACTTCTAAGGGGATATGGAGTTCCTTTCTGGGGTGATGAAAAAGTTCTGGAATTAGATAGTGGCAATAAATGCACAGCTCTGTGAATATACTAAGAACCATTGAATTGTATACTTTAAATATTCAGTAGATGAATTGTATGGCATCTGAATTATATCTCAGTAAGAATTTCTATAAGGAAAAAAAAAATGTTGCCTAGGAAGAAGAACTATATTTTCCTTTTCCTACTTTCTGGACTGGAAACCTTTTGTCATGTGTCTAATTTTCAGTTTAACTACTTTGACAGAGTCCTTTTGCATGGTTTTTCTGCTCATGTTACTTTCCTCTGCTTTTTCTAAAAGAAGATCTCTGGGTAGAGCATTTCTGAAGTTGTACTAGTCAGATGCCCTTCAGGCATGTTTCAGCATCTGAGAAAGCCTTTCAGTCTGCTTAGAGAAAGCAACATATTAATCTCTTTAAGAATTAAAGCGTTTGCCAAATTAAACACGCGAATGAAAACATTCTAACCAGATTTGTGTTGACTTCTGTGCTCACAGTGTAAACACACGCACGCGTGCACACACAGACACACACACACACACACACACACACACACACGCACTCACGCACTCACGCAAAGTATTTCAAAACATCAGAAAGCAATGGCTTTCAAAAGTACTCTCCAGCCAACACCCTCTCTCATATGCCAGAACTCAGTCCAGAGCAAACTTTTTTATAGCTGAGTTATATAAACACTTGAAGCCCAGAGTAATCTCTATAATGGAAATACTGACATCGCTTGACTTGAGCAACACAGATGGCTCTGGCTTTTTTAGCTAGAACATGATGAGTTTTCTAATAGGAAGCCAAGAGGCTCTTTGGGGTAGAACTGTTAAGAAATGTAGAGACTGGGAGGAAAATCTCTCAGTGGATTGCAGTTGTAAGCACTGTGCCCTGGCTGCATTCTCCTACTACCGCTCTTCCTTCTGTAATCAGGAAAACTGTCCAGATAGATACTGCCTTGTATAAGTATGGAATGTAACGTTGACTTGTGACCTTAATTTTCTGCAGTCCCTTGCTTACCCTAGGGTTGCTGGAAGCAACAATGGTGATTGTTGTCTCAGATATGAGACTCTGTAAGGATGGACGAGAGACATCTGAATTGTTTAAAAAATAAGTCTACCAAAAATTCTCCCCCACTGTGTCAAGATGATGAACTTGATGCACTTTAAAAGTTTTCAAGTGTTTTGGTATATTAGCTCACTTTGGTCTCTCAGTCACTCTGCTAGAAGAGCCGTGTGTTGTTGTTTCCATCATTATAGTCAAGGAGGTAGCATGAATAACCTGTTAGTGGTCAGGCTAGGATTATTAGGAAGCGATACAAGCTCATTGTTCCTTCCCCAGTACTCGGATGCCCAACACCTGGACTCCCACATACAGACCTGCCCTGCTCCCCAGTGACCAGACATTGGTGTAGCTAATTGCATTTGCGATTTCATTTCTCATGGTTGTTTTTTGTCTTGGCAGTTGGCTTTGCCTGGGTACCTTTGCTGAAGGATGGTAGAATCATCACATTTGAGCAGCAGCTGCCAGTTTCCGCTAATCTTCCTCCAGGCTACTTGAATCTGAATGATGCCGAATCAAGAAGGGTAGGAAAATACCTGTATTTGTTGAAGTAATCATGATGAAGTGTTTCTTCCCCCTCTTTTTAAAAAACTGTATTGAAGTATAGTTGATTTACAGCATCGTGGTAATTTCTGCTGTCCAGCAAAGTGATTCAGTTATACATATACGATGAGATGTTTAAAAAGTAGAATACCGTTGGCACAGTCGATAGTTTGGTCTGGTTGATGGCTACTCAGAGTGTGGTTTGAGGGCCGGTGCTGGTCCACGACGAAGATAAGTATAGAAAATGAGTGTTGAGAAGCTTGTATAATAGTTTGACAAAGTAACCTCATGTCTGTTGATTCTGATAACAATTTTTAAAATGGGACTCCGATTTTGTGCATCATGAAAAGCATTCATTTATTTAGTAATTTTTATTGTCATTTGGAAAAGTATCAGCCTGCAGAGGATTGGAAATTCAAAATGGTTTAGGATACATTTATTCTAAAGGCATGTTATTTTCTCCAATAATTCCCTATGTGCAAAACGAACACATTTGTTTCTGAAAGAAAATGTTGAAATGCATAAAGGCGTTATATGTTGCTCATCTATCCATTGCTATGGTACAGAAACTCATGTGTGTATTTTCTCTTCACAGCAGTCTAATGTGGATATTAAGTGGGTAGATGGTGCAAAGCCTTTGTTGAAGATTAAAAGTCACTTGGAGTCTACCATTTATACTCAAGTAAGTTGCATCACCTGAATTTTGTCAATTTTAATACTTGACTATATTTCTGGATTAAAATAGACTATATTCGATTCTACAGCCTTAGAGAAGTTGTGGCCTGAAAGACTTTCTCATTAGTAATAACATCATTCTTAATAATAGCTCAGATTTGAAAATTCTTCTCAAATTACCAAATCCTTTTACCTATTAATGCCCCTTTTCTGTCTCAGGATTCTATCCAGTATAGCGTGTTACATTTAGTTGTCATATCTCCTTAGGCTCTTCTTGGCGGTGACAAGTTCCGAGACTTTCATTGCTTTTGGTCACCTTGTCAGTTTCCAGGACTACTGGTATTTTGTAGGATGGCCCTCTGTTGGGATTTGTCTGACATTTTTCTCATGGTTAGACTATAGAGTTGAACACAGAAATTTGCAGTCAGTGGATCATGGCTGGCTACTACAGTTTGCTCTTAGCCTCGGCATCCGTGAAGTTAGGATCAAGTATCTGTGAGATGGCTCAAGCACAGTTTGAAAAATCACGGATGGAGCAGGGTCCCTCTCAATTCCCCCTGCCCACTTCATCATTTTAGAGGAAAAGAAACCGAGGCTTGCTCGGGTTAGATGATTTACCCGAGGTCACACAGGTAATAATTAGAGGAAGCAGGTCAAAATCCGAATTTCATGATTCTGGTTCCTGATACAGTCCATGCCGTCCACAAATTCAATATCTGTAGATTCCACACAGGACAGCTGGACGCTGACCGGTGCAGGGCCAGGGTACGTTGGGCACTGAATGCCTGGGACTTGTTCTGGTGACTCCCTGCTGCTACGTTTTCTTCACCTGTCAATTCAGACCTCTCTTCCTGCTCGTTTCATTAAAATATAGAAGCAGCCCAACTTCAGAGGCTACACTAGCCAAAAAAGAGATTAAACAAATGTGTGACTACTTGGGCATAAGTGGTGACCTACCCGGCGTGCTTAGGTACATGCTGAATGTGCCTGGTTTTGCTGCTTTGTGTGACGGTCGAGAGGACTATGGGACTCATTTAGGAACATGCATGTTGGTAGCTGCAGGTGCTGAGTCTGGCCATTAGAAGACCCAGGGAAACAGGTTTCCGAGATTCCAGGGTGGTGGGGTGTGGTGCGGGGGCGGAGCCTGTGCTTTGCAGGTGGGAGGGAGGGAGACGCAAGAGGGAGGAGATATGGGGATGTATGTATACGTACAGCTGATTCACTTTGTTGTACAGCAGAAACTAACACACCATTGTAGAGCAATTATACTCCAATAAAGATGTTAAAAAATAAAAAGAAATGAATCAAATTTCACATGGCTGTGTCCATCTGTTTTTCAGGATCTACATGTGCACAAATTCTTCCATCATTGCCAGCTGATTCAGTCAGGCTCAAAAGAAGTTCCAGGGGAGCTCATTAAATATTTAAAGGTAAATGAACAGTAGCTTTCTGTGAAAGGTTTGTTTTTCATGTCGTTCGGTTGCCGCATTTTTTGACGTGGGGGAAAAAAAATCAAACGAACCCTTTAAAAATACTTCTGGCTGTGTATCCTCAAGAGAACACTTTCTATTATGTGCTTTTCCATCAAGGGGCTGTTTAGAAGCAGACCGCAGAATTGCTACATTAGGAAGAAAATGTTTTAGCCGGAATTCGTTGACATATTTTTGAAAATCTCATGAAAATGTTTATTTCAGTTTCATAAATTGACTTTTCCGGGCCTTTTCTCATCTTGCCGATGGCCTGGTAAAGGTGGAGAAAGCTTGGGGAAAAGGGCCAGGAGAAATGGAGTCACTTTTGCTTGGAATGAAATGTGAAATGATTCCTGTGTTCATAGGTGAAAGATTATCAGAAGGGTCAGCTAAAAAAAGAGAACCTAGTTTCTGCATGTGGCGTAGGAGGGAGTCATAAGTAACGCCATATTTTATCAAACGTATTGAGAATCCAAGACTCCATTTATTCCCTAATGGGGTGGGACAGGGCACACGTCATGGAACCCAGCTAACAGTGACTTTTCTTTTCAGTAGATCAGCCATGGCCAGTCTGAGGCATTTTTTATTTTTATTTTTTATTTATTTTTCTTAAACGTCTTTATTGGGGTATAATTGCTTTACAATGGTGTGTTAGTTTCTGCTTTATAACAAAGTGAATCAGTTATACACATACATATGTTCCCATATGTCTTCCCTCTTGCGTCTCCCTCCCTCCCACTCTCCCTATCCCACCCCTCTAGGTGGTCACAAAGCACCGAGCTGATCTCCCCGTGCCATGCGGCTGCTTCCCCCTAGCTATCTACCTTACTACGTTTGTTAGTGTGTATATGTCC